TCGTCCTCGTCGTCGCACATTACCAGTGCGAGCAGTTCGATCCATGCGTCGTCAACGTCGTCGGCCTTCGCTCTCAGCTCCCCCTCTTCGGTCTCGCATTCCAGCAGTTCCGTGCATGCCAGTAGTTTCGCATCCTCTTCCGTTTTCCGCTCGTCGTCGTCGTCGTCGGCGTCAGCCTCTCACGCCAGCTCGGCCTCACGCAGCTCTTTGTCGGTATCGGCATCTGCTTCGCATACAAGCAGCTCTTCGTCAGCCTCGCAATTGAGTAGCTCTGCTTCACGCCCCAGCAGCTCGGCCTCGACTTCACATGCCTCTAGCAGCTCCGCGTCCCGTGCTAGCGGCTCCGCCTCAGCGTCTGCTTCCCACTCCGGGAGCTCTGCGTCGTCTTCACAAGCCAGCTACTCAGCGTCTCACGCTAGCATTACCGAAGGTTGGTGACGAGAAATTTGTTCGAATTTATATTTCTGACGTTCTTGCTTTAGGATCTTCGTCTGCATCGCACAACTCAGCATCTTCTGCCTCGCACATTAGCAGTTCATCGTCGGCATCTGCGTCGCACGCGAGTAGCTCTGCCTCATCTTCGCATTCAAGCGGCTCCGCTCCTTCCTCCTCGCATGCCAGCAGCTCCGCGTCAGCTTCGCATGCGAGTAGCTCTGCGTCGGCATCTGCTTCGCGCGCCAGCTCTTCGTCCGCCGCCCATTCAAACGGCTCTGAGTCTGCCTCGGCCTCGCACTCTTCCCCAAGTGGCTCTTCTTCGGCGTCGCACAGCACTGGCTCTATGGCCCCTTCGAGCTCGGTCTCGCGTACTGCCAGCTCAAGCGTGGCCTCGGTCTCAGCGTTCGGTTCTGTATCTTGCACAGGGCAGACCACATTCTGCTGTGACAGTCTGGAGTCCTCCACCAGTTCGTACGGCGGCAGCTGCCTGAGTGATGCTGGTGTTTCGTCCTCACTCGTCGTTGGGGACTACATTGGTATCATGTGTGTTCCCCTTACCACCGCCAGCGACGGATCTCAGTCTTGGTAAGCCACTCATCATTTGACGTACTTATTCCTGACTTTATTTCTTGCAGCTCTGGATCCAAGCAACTGCTGACCTGCTGCAAGACGCTCTTTGACACTGTTGGAATTGATTGCTCAAATGGTATGTCGATTTCATTGTTGTTACACGAAATTTATTTACGATGTGTTATTAGGGTTGCTCTCGAGCGCCAGCGTATCTCATTCCTCGACTTCCGCACCTCACTCGAGCTCGTCTTCCACGGTGCACTCCTCTTCGTTTAGCTCTTCGACCGCCCACCCCAGCAGTTCGACATCTGTGGCGCACTCGAGCTCGTCGTCTAGCAGCGCTTCATCTTCCTCGACAGCTCATTCGAGTTCTTCGAGCGCGCACCAAAGCAGTTCCACCTCCTCGTCCGCAGCCCACTCAAGCTCCTCGTCGAGTGCTCACTCGAGCAGCGTGGCCTCCTCGTCTTCTGTTCATTCTAGCAGCGTAGGATCGTCATCTTCGGCGCACTCGTCATCTGCTGTGCACTCCAGCAGCGCGGTGCCTTCGTCCTCCGTTCATTCTGACAGTGCCGCATCCTCTTCGAGCATCCACTCTAGTAGTGCCGCATCTTCATCCGCCGAGCACTCAAGCTCCTCGAGCGCGCATTCAAGTAGCGCGGCTGCCTCCTCGTCGAGCGTCCACTCCAGTATCGCTGCATCCTCATCCTCTGCTCACTCCAGCGGTGCGGCTCCCTCCGCGTCGAGCTCCCACTCGAGTAGCGCGGCACCCTCCTCGTCCGTGCATCCAAGCAGCTCGTCTTCAAGCGCGCACTTGAGCAGCGCGGCTAGCTCTTCATCGGAGGCACACTCGAGCTCCTCGTCGTCCACTGAGCACTCGAGCTCCTCTTCCACTGTGCACTCCAGCAGCACGGCCCCCTTGAGCGCCCATTCTAGCAGTGCGGAATCCTCCTCGACAGAACATTCGAGTTCCTGGTCCAGCGCGCACTCCAGCAGCGCGGCTCCTTCCTCCTCGAGCGCACATCCGAGCAGCTCGGCATCCTCAAGTGCAGGGCACTCGAGCTCCTCCTCGTCCACTGCACACTCTAGCAGCGCGACTCCTTCGTCATCTGTCCATCCTAGCAGTGCGGCGGCATCTTCGTCAGCAGAGCACTCGAGCTCCTCGTCAAGTGTGCACTCCAGCAGCCCAGTCCCCTCGTCGAGCGCGCACCCTAGCAGCTCTGTTTCTTCCTCTGCAGAACACTCCAGTTCCTCCTCGTCCACTGCGCGCTCCAGCAGCGCGGCACCCTCCTCGAGCGCCCATTCCAGCAGTGCGGAATCTTCCTCGGTAGAACACTCGAGTTCCTCGTCAAGCGTGCACTCCAGCAGCGCGGCTCCTTCGTTGAGCGCGCACCCTAGTTCTTCATCGGCAGAACATCCGAGTTCCTCCTCGTCCACTGCACACTCCAGCAGTGCGGCGCCCTCTTCGTCGAGTGAACACTCGAGCAGTACAGCTTCTTCCTCGGCAGTGCACTCGAGTAGCGCGATCCCCTCGTCGAGCGAACACTCTAGTAGCGCGGCCTCCTCATCTGCTCATTCCAGCAGCGCAGCTTCCTTGTCATCTGCACACCCCAGCAGCGCGGCGCCCTCCTCGTCGGCAGAACACTCGAGCAGCGCTAGCCCCTCCTCCAGCGAGCACTCTAGCACCGCGGCCTCTTCATCTGCTCATTCTAGCAGTGCGGTCCCCTCCTCGTCTGCTCATTCCAGCAGCACGGCTCCGTCCTCATCGAGCGAACACTCCAGCAGCGCCACGGCCTCGTCCTCGAGCGCACACTCCAGCAGCGCCACGGCCTCGTCCTCGAGCGCACACTCCAGCAGCGCGGTTCCCTCTTCTTCCTCGAGCGCCCACTCCAGCAGCGCGGCTCCATCCTCGTCGAGTAGCTCCTCCACTGTGCACTCGAGTAGCGCCGTTCCCTCGTCCTCGAGCGAACACTCCAGCTTCCCTCCCACAACTTCCTCGACGCACACGACCACCGCGTCTTCGTCTTCGTCCTCCCCATCTCCGTCCTCGTCGACTGTGCACACCTCATCTGCCACGCCCACCACGTCGTCGACGCACATGACTACCTCCAGCGCCACGCCAACTACGTCCTCCACGCACACAACCACACCCACGACGTCCTCGACGCACACCACCACCACGTCCGCGGGAGCTAGCGAGACGCCGTGCGACGACGACACCAACGGGAACGGTGGCGGAAACGGATTTGGCGGGGGACGCTACAAGCGCGCTGCTCCTGCAGCAACGCCAACTCCCACCGCAATGCACCGTGTGCATCCGAGACAGATCACTGTTGAGGCTTGAGTGGTGTGTTTCCACCTTTTCTTGAGCGCTGAATTCGACGCTGACTGGTATCCCGCAGATGAATACCATGAAAAAAACCTTCTTCGATTTCGATTTGGACCCCTTTTTTCCTTTCGTTCGGCTTCGGTTTCTCTTCGACTTGACTGTTGCTGCTTTGTTGACTCCTCGTCACTTTACGACCACCCCAAAAATGTACTCAACACTGTAGATTAGATAGAAGCTGTACAATTAGATGAGATACATCCAATTCAACGACTTGTATGTGCATTCTGGTTTCGTTATTTGAGCGGTCCACTTTCATCGACACACCTTAACTTCTTGACAGCTTGTACCTCCGCTTTAACTCGAGCAGCTCCGTGAACTTGTCTTCGAGTGTACTCCTCAACTCCAAAAGCTCACCACAAATGTTTCAAAAGTGACGACCACGGGACAGATGCACGGAAATGCACCTGCTGCGCGTCGAGCGGCGACATTGAGTGTATGTAGCTACATACAAACGGTATTTTACGGACTCAGAGACGACGACCGCGGCGACCACCCTGAAAGAACACCATTAACGCAAGTATCATTCAACACGGGCCAAACACACACCTTCCGGCGAGTGCAATCCGTCGGGACGGGGGTCACATCCTCGATGCGGCCGATGGCCATGCCAGCACGGGCAAGGGCGCGGAGGGCGCTCTGTCCTCCGGGGCCAGGGGTCTTGGTGCCCGTTCCGCCGGTGGCGCGGATTTTGATGTGCAGGGAGTTGATGCCGGCCTCCTTGCAGCGGGTGGCAACATCCTGGGCGGCAAGCATGGCGGCGTAGGGCGAGGACTCGTCGCGGTCGGCCTTGACCTTCATGCCGCCGGTGACGCGGGAGACGGTTTCAGAACCGGACAGATCGGTGACGTGCACGAAGGTGTCGTTGAAGGACGCGAAGATGTGCTGGAAAAACGCAAGTTTGTTAGTGAATTGGACGAGTGCCGGTTTGCAACAAAAACGTACAGCTACACCCCACACCGGCTGTTCACGCAGAAATTAGAACAAGAGAAAGGAGAATGCAAAGGAGACGGACCGTTCCCTCCTGGATGAACAAATTCAATACGAGTCGAAAAACAGATACGAAACAAAAGACGAACCGCGACTTGGGGCCCAAGGGCGACGTTTTCCTCCTTGGGGGCCTTGACTTTCTTGGGCGGCTACACAGGCAAGAAAGTCAGCTCTCGGTACAAACCAGGCTTTCAGAACAAAAAAGCGAAAATTTGGACGGAAACGACATCCACAAGTCCATTTCCGAATCCACTTCATTCTGCAGCGAATTCGACCATTCGAACGCGCAGGAGGATCGTATGGCGATGCTTGACGCAATGGACAAGATAAAAAGGGCTGCAGACGAACCATTTTGGCGTCGAGTGGTGGACAAAGAGAAAGAAATTTACCTAGTGACACTCGGGTCACACACTTTGCATAGCCACAACTGTCAAACTATTCATGTGGGCCTCACGCAAGTCGCCTGAAGGCTGACCGCAAGTATGATCATCATGTGGCTCATACGACGGCACCTTTGCCTGGGCGACTCGAGGAATTTATGCACAGAAGGTGCCATTGGAGAATCCGCTGTTCCGCCTCAGACATTGAACTAGAGACAAGCCTCCATTGCTCCTACAACAACGCATTAATGGGGTAGTGGTAACCTGGGTCGTTGCCAACGAATCGTGTAATCGTCGATTCGACCCGCCGGGGGTTCGATTCCCTCTTAATGCATGCATGTTTTATGTCTATCTTTTTGGATTTTCCTTCACGCTAGTCACCATTACCCACCGCACGGTTGGTTACATTTGTTCTTTCTGCATTTGTAGACACTTTATGTATCTTGTTGCCAGCTCAATAAACAGTCTCGTGGATAACATATAACAAGCCATGCACATATGAAGTTCAATGTTAAGCTTCGGTTCAATTGCCAGCGGCGGAGTGATTCACCAATACTATTTCAGTGAGGTGAGGCTCTTGACTAAGTTGACTTGCAAGCCGTGGACTCTGAGTACCCCCAGGCCCCGTCCTTCACTTGAGCCCACGCACGTCTATGACATAACATATTCTCTGCGCTGGTTATGGAGGCGCAAGGTAGGCGGGCACATGGGCTGTCGAATTAACAGTTGGCGACCTGAGCAGAACATCCTTCCGATCCTTCCGATTTTCAAAATTCAAAGTGTGTGAAGCAGCCAGGGCATACAGAGCGCAGGTGCATTACCTACCCCCATGTAACGAGCAAGTCTATGAAGGCAAGGCTATGCAGGATGGCAAGATGACACTGTTACCAGACGTTGGAGACTCTGTCAAGACACCGCTGTACGTGCAGTCCTAGTCCTCCTTGGTGAGATGACACTGTTACCAGACGTTAGAGACTCTGCCAAGGCACCGCTGTACGTGCAGTCCTAGTCCTCCTTGAGCTTTCTAGACACCATCATGGTGCATCAGCTTTCCAGCGAGCCGACAAACATTAAAGCGCGAGTTTAAACAGTGTAATTTCACCTACTTTGAAGCCAGGATGTCAAACACAAGCGTGAGGACAGCCAAGAATGAGGAATGCTGCACGCGCGACACATAGACCAAGGGCTGGCATGCCCAAATCCAAATAAGGTGTCTCGTCACTGGCTCACGGATGTAATGTGAGGATTTTTGAGACGCATGCCACTGGTGGTGTCGAAGAAACCCTGCCACAGTATATGTTCCTCCGCGCGTATTGTATGATACGATTTGTATTGACATTGTTGCAAGGTGTAGTCGTGCGCGCCACGAGTTAAAGCAGGAGGACGGCCTGAGAAGAAGAGTCGCGGTCATGTGATCCAATGTGTGTGCTGTCAATGCCTCGTCGCGTCAGGCGGCCACCGTTTCTGTGACTCCCGCGACAAACCCACAGCTTCTGCTATGTGGATTTTATCCTTCTCGTATTTCTTAGGCTATTTTTCTTTCTATTCCCATTCCAAATTCACTTCAAAAGGTTTCTTTGCAGATCTTTCTGGATGTGGTGACACCAACACAGAATGCCGTCGTTCTCCAGTCCTACACTCTCCCCCCTGGTCAAAATCGAAATTTAAACCACGAGTATAAGCTCCGGAAGTTGCCGTCCGAGGTTCAAAAGGGACACAGCCACACTCCTGCGTTCGTCAGCCTCTTGTCTCTCGACTCCCACCATCTCCCACCAAATCCTTCTCTACCTTCTCCTCCCTCGCCTTGTGCCATTGTTGTTGACCGCTGGGTATCTGGTGCTGGTCCTAGGTGTGTTGTGTTGGTCCTTCCACTGTCGCGCCGACGCTGACTGGTTCCGTCTTGCTCGCCTTGGTCAAAATCGTGTCTTTTGCCGCTTTGGAGTCTCAAGGACACCGTGACGCAAGTCCTCAAGCCTCAAGACATGCTTCAAGTCCTCAAGGCCTCGCATCAAGCCGATTGACTGCAGTCCTCAGTGGGAGATTGCTCAAGGCCCCTCAAGCTCTGTCAAGACTCACTTCAAGACTAGGCTCAAAACGTTCAAGACTCAAGACTCCAATGCTCAAGATCCCTCAAGCTTCACAACTTCAAGATACCGCAAGACCTCAGTGGGAAACTGCTCAAGAGACCTCAAGATTCAGAGTTCAAGACCTCGGTGGGACACTGCGCAAGACTCTCAAGACACTTCAAGTTCAAGACGCCCCAAGACCCAAGATCTAAAGTCTCAAGACTCAAGACGTCAAGACAACTCAAGACTCCTAAGACCGCAAGAGCTCCTCAAGTTCTCAAGGCATTTTATTCAGGTATGTTCAACGGTAGGTCGTTTTCTTCCTGGGGATGGGTGTTAGCATTGCTACAACCCCGTGCTCCCTTGCCGTGGGCCCCGGGCTTAGTACGCGCGCATTTGGCTTCACCCACCGCTTGCGCGCGGAAGCCAAATGCACGTTAAAATTTCTCGTTTCTTTCTGCCGTTTTCTTTCCTTTTCGCTAATCTAAATTGTAATACTGCTTCTACTACTTGTATCGAATCATAATAATTCTGAATCACGATTTTCTTGCAAGGCAGGACTGAAATTCTGATTGATCTGAACTTAATGTTACGGTACTCTGTATGCATGGCAGTCTTGACTGTCCATATCGTGGCGCTTTAAGAGAGATTTAGTGCCCAGCCATGCAGAATTCTTTTATTTCCGAGAATCATTGCCCTGCCTTTTCCGACGTTGAACCGTGGGAACAGAGATCAACTTCGAACTCATTCGTCTTGATTCCGACCACAGAGGTCAGAATATTTTTGCTCTTCCGTATATATCTTATGAACTATAGGTAGGATTCCAAGGTCATCGGAGGGATTCAAATTCCACAGGAATGGGATCAAGCTTCACTTCCTCCCTTAGCTGTAATACACGAGGATCTCCCACCCATTTTTAGACCGTAAATAGGCCAACTGCCTATCCGTTGAAGGATCTAGCGTGTCCCTGAATAAATACTTGAACACGGCGCAAACACGGCGTTTCTAGGACAAAGGCGATTGGATGTCTGTCGGAGCTATCACGGATTTGTCGACATGTCTGACTACTTAGCACCGCAGAGCCGTACAGCCGTAGCACCTTACAAACAAGCGAGGTACGAGCGCAAATGTTTGTAGCGTCTGTCTACGAGAGACTAGTAGCACCTCGCTCTCTCTCGCTGCGGACTTCTCTCTCGGACCAGTGTAAACAGCTGCGCAAGGCTTAAAAATGGATCGACGAATTCTTCAACGCCCCGCAGCAGTTTTGGCTCGTCGTAATTCGCCTCGCCCTTCTCTCGCCATATTCTTCAGAGACGATGGTATTGAAATCGGGGCAGCAGAACCTTCAATCCACAGGCTCAATACAGTCTGGACATGAACATATTTCGAACATGCCACCAGCATACGAACGGGGAGCATTTCAACTACCTACCGACAAGGAGGGCCAAGAATTTATTGACCACAATGCAGCTGAGGCCGTAGGAGGTTCGCAGCATTGTTTGACGCATTTCCACCTCTCATTGTAAGCCAGAGGACGGCCGCATTTATCTCGATTTCGATTCCAAGCTCGGTAGAGCCCTCTCGAGCATTGTGCCACTCCCCCCGCCCTCTGTACCGGCATCCAAATATTTCGAGCGCCGGGAATGGAAGATTAAATTGAACGTCGTCATCCAAGTCGTGGGCAGTCGCGGGGATGTTCAGCCGTTCATCGCGCTTGGGAACGAGCTCCAGAAGCACGGGCATCGCGTACGCCTCGCTACACACGATGTTTTCAAGGACTTTGTCAGAACGTCGGGGCTCGAGTTCTATCCGATCGGCGGGGACCCGGCCGAGCTCATGGCGTACATGGTCAAGAACCCCGGGCTGATACCCAGCATGAAAAGTTTGCGAGGAGGGGATATCCAGCAAAAACGCAAGATGGTTATGGAAATGCTCGAGGGATGCTGGCGGAGTTGCGTAGAGCCAGACATTGTTTCCAAAGACCCTTTCGTTGCCGAGGCTATTATCGCGAATCCGCCGAGCTTTGCGCATATACATTGCGCCCAGGTTCTGGGGATTCCTGTGCACCTAATGTTCACAATGCCGTGGTCCAGCACTAGGGCTTTTTCTCATCCATTGGCAAATCTCAAATACACCAGTACGGATCCTGGACTCGCGAATTACATGTCCTATGGGATAGTAGAGTTCTTGACGTGGCAAGGGTGAGTGGAGCGAATCCCGGACGACAAGATGACGAACAAGTAATAGACTCGGGGATGTGATTAACAAGTGGCGGCATTCACTCGACCTTGAACCTGTTCCGTTAACCGAAGGCCCAGCCCTTGCGGAAACCCTCAAAATCCCATTCACCTACTGTTGGTCCCCCGCGCTTGTCCCCAAACCAGTAGATTGGCCGCCCCACGTTGGTAAGTTGCATTTCCGCTTCGTCAACCAAACACTGAAGATGCTAGACGTCTGCGGATTTTTCTTCCGAGAAGCGCCGAACTACACGCCTCCTCCTGAACTCGATGCTTTCCTCCGAGCCGGCCCTCCGCCGGTCTACATTGGCTTTGGGAGTATAGTGATCGACGACCCGGCGCGCATGAGCAATGTCGTTGTAGGAGCGGTTCGCGTAGCAGGAGTTCGTGCCATCGTCTCGCGAGGCTGGAGCAAGCTCGATGGACCACCGTTACTCGACGTGTTATATCTCGGCGATTGCCCACACGAGTGGCTATTCCAGCATGTTGCAGCGGTGGTGCATCATGGCGGTGCTGGGACCACGGCGTGCGGATTATTGAATGGAAAACCGACACTAATCGTGCCATTCTTTGGAGAGTAGGTTATCTACTCTCTTTCGACGATTCAAGCTTTGAAAAGCTTACCACCGTCACAGTCAACCGTTCTGGGGTAATATGGTTGCCGCTGCAGGTGCTGGGCCCAGGCCTATTCCTCACAAAAAGTTGAATGTCAAGGCCCTTGCCACCGCTATTGCCTTCTGCCTCACACCAGAGGCGGCTGCCGCTGCAAGAAGCATCGCCGAGAAGATGAAGGCAGAGTCGGGGGTCAAGACGGCTGTCGACTCGTTTCATGCGAATCTTCCGCTGGATCGTCTGAAATGCGATATACTGCCAGATCGTCCAGCAGCCTGGAAGGTCCAGAAAGGCAAACAGACGCTACGCATGTCCAAGCTGGCGGCCGAGCTGCTGGTTCAGAAGAAGGAAGTCGACAGCAAGGCTTTGAAACCGTGAGGTTTTATTTTTGCTCACAGCTAGCAGTATACTGATAAGGG